TTGTCACTGTTTTTTGTTTTTTGTTTTTGTTTTTTTTTTTTTTTACTTTAGACACTTTCATAGGTGTGTTGTGATAGCTCACTGTGTTTTAATTTGCATTTCCCTAATGGTTCATGATGTTGAACACCTTATAACTTACTATCTGTATATCCTCTTCAGTGAAATGTATGTTCATTGTTGGATTTCTTGTTCAATTTTAGAGTTTTTTAAAAAATGTAGGTGTGAGTCCTTTCTCAGATACATGGTTTGCAAATACTGTGTCTAAGACTGTTGCTTATCTTTCCATCCTCGTAACTGAGTCGCACAGCCAAAGTTTTAAATTTTGATGTAGCTCAATTTAACATTTTTTAACGATCATACCTTTAGTGTCGCATTTAGAACTCTTCCACTAACATGAATCTTGAAGGTTTTTTTCCCATTAAAAATATTGTGTAGTTTTATGCTTTAGATTTATTCTGGTGTTCCATTTTGAGTTAATGTTCTGGTGTTTCATTTTGAGTTAATGTTTCTAATGTATGAGGTTTAGGTTGATTTTTTTTTTTTTTTTTTTTTTTTTTTTTTTTTTTTTTTTTTTTTTTTGCCTGTGGGTGTCTGATTCCTCTAGCACCATTTCTTAAAAAGAGAATCCTTGCTTGTTGAATTGCTTGTGCGTTTTTTTTTCCCCCACAAATCAGTTGAATATCTTGTTTTGGGTTGATTTCTAGGTTTCCTGTTCCGTTTGATTGGCGTATGTGTGCCTTCCTCTGCCAACGCCACCTGTCTTCATTACTAAAGCTGTCTAGTAAGCTTTTATATCAGGGAGAGTGATTTCTCCCATGTTTGGATTGTGTGGCAAGATTATTTTGTTGCGGGGGGGTGTTACCAAATTACTTTATTTCAAGGAGTGGTACAAATGAAAGAAGTAGATGTTTTGGTACAACTTGGAGAAAAGGTAAACGTAACCCCAACACGCACGCACTGCCTCGCTGGCCCGGGAGGTCACCCTTGAGGCAATGGGAAGACAGCCTAAGGCGTAGCTCTCCTTATCACTGTTTCCCAAGGTGTGCTTGTCATAGACACTTGGCCCTGCCAGATTCCAGAGCCCCTCGTCTCGCCCAGGTTGATTATGTGGTCGCCGACTTCTTCGGTGAATTTCACCTGCTCGTTCACGTAATGCGTCTCCGTGAAGTCCCTCGGACAGGGTCGTTTTTATGAGTGGCCAGTTCGTGCAGTTCCAGGGGTGAGTGATTCACGCTCTTCTCCAAGTGTAATGCACACTCTATTCGCAGTCATATCAGGGTCTGGCTCCTTAATACCCTGAAGGAAGATTCGGGCACCTGGTTGGTTTTGCAGCTTCATCAGTTTCTCGGCATGTTCCCTCTCCTCGTGCGACTGGTGAAGAAAACGTGTGGCAGAGTTCTTCAAGGCCACGCCTTTGCGGGTCAAAGTAGTAAGGCGTGGCAGGTAGACGGGGGAGGCGTAGAGCTCCAGGTTGCGGTGGTGGTTGAGGGTGGCCTCTGAGTCCTGGTGGTAGTTCTGGCACACCCATGAGGGGGAGGTGGCCGTCAGGGCGGTGGCCGAGGACGGCCAAGGACAGGGTGCTGGAGTGGCTTCGGGGGCCGTGGGGAGGTTCACGGGCACCGTGAGGAGATGGCAGAGGGCTGGCTCTGAGCAGAGAGCTGGGGTGGGGGACGAGTGCCGGGTTCTGCCAACATACTATTGAAACAGGAAACTGC